CGCAAGAGGCGTTAATGTTAGTGAGCGTACGGTGAGAAGACGAATGGAGGAAGTGAATTTAAAAGCTCGTAGACCAGCACGAGGTCCAGAACTTCTCAGACAGCACCGAGTAGCCCGACTTCAGTTCGCAAGAGAACATGTCAATTGGACCCACGAGCAATGGGCTAGAGTGTTGTTCACAGATGAGTGTCGAATAGCTTTACGTGCTCCAGACGGTCGAGAACGAGTGTGGAGAAAAAGAGGAGAGAGGTTTCTACCCATTAGCACCACCCAAACTGTGAGTTTCCATGGAGGCTCAATAATGGTATGGGGAGGTGTAAGTTCCGACGCACGTACAGAGTTGGTCATCGTCGATAATCGGCTTACAGCTACTCGATACATCGAGGAAGTTCTTCAGGAGCACGTAATGCCTTATTCGGGATTCATTGGACACGACCAATTCCTCCTCATGCACGATAATGCACGCCCGCACGTCGCACATTGTGTAGAGGAATATCTGGAAGAGGTTGGAATACAAAAATTACAGTGGCCAGCTCGTAGCCCGGACTTAAATCCAATTGAGCATGTATGGGGTATGCTCAAAAGAAAGATAAAGTCCAGCTCCAAACCGCCACAAACTCTAAATGAGCTCCGAAATGCAGCGCTGGCCGCTTGGGACAGCATACTGCAAGTTGATGTCAGAAACATCATTCAAAGCATGCCAGATCGAATGCAAGCGGTTATCAGGGCTAGAGGAGGAAACACCCGATATTAAAACTGATAGACAATAAAGAAACAGACTTAATTTTTAACTTTGTAGTGTTTTTAAAGTGACAATGGAAAGATGTTAATTTTAGTAAAACATGTTATCTTGAAAAGAAAAATTTCGGTGAAGTAAACATTAAATTTCTATGTTTTAAAACCATTAGAGACACTTATTGAATGCATCTACCCTTAATTTACTGTTAAAAAAACGTTTCAGTGCAAATAATCAGCAAATTCACGAGTGGCCAAGTTTCCGTGCCGGTGAGTAGAAGAAGATTATTTACATCACACTGATTGTAAGTCAATTTTTTATTTACTTCTAGATAGGAAAATACTTCTATCCTGTGAAGAACCAGAAAGAAACCCAGTTGGATTGTTATTTGGAACATAAGCTGCTAAACAGCAGTGTATATACTGCCGTGTTTCAATTTGAAAGGTATAGAATGCCAGGAAAATGTTTTTAATTTCTTTCTTTGACGTCATCAACTGTTAACCCTCAAAATCTGATTGAGCCATCCTGGAATTGTCCAACATGCACTACCCCCCAGCCAAAAAACCCTAACAACGATGAGACTACAGTGCATTTCAAACTAAATATAAGAATCCGCGCCACAAAAAGGCAGGCGTTACAGTCCTCCTCTGATAACGCATTAGAATGTGAATTTAAAGAAGTTATGCACAGCGTTGTTCAGGAAGTGATTCACAAGGAAATAGGTGGATTAAATACTAATCTAAACAATTCCCTCCAATTATTCAGTACTGAATTAAGAGCCGTTATGAATGAAATCAAGGATCTAATTTTTAATTTAACTAATATATTATAATATATAGTGTTGGAAACATATTATGTAATACCTGTGAATTATTGACTTGTACTATTTCTGGGTAATTACGAGGGCTGCACTAAAATTATCGGGAATGGAATATTTCCACTGTTCCTGTCATATTAAAATCTTTATAATTGAAAACTCCTTGGTTTTAAAAATTTAATACCATTTATTTATTTAAAAAAAGATTCTCGGTCTTGTCACAAGGTTTTGTCAAACTTGTTTAGTCATTGAGAAAATGGAATTGACTTGAAAAATTCAAGAGGGATGATTTATTATGACTTTCGAAGTGGTTTAGCACAAATACAGTGTGTTGACCGGATGATTTCTGCATTTGGTGATGAAGCCCCATCCAAAACCACAATTTAACGCTGGTTTGCTGAATTTCAACATGGATGTGTCAAGCCCAGTGATGATCCCCGTCAAGGTCGTCCAAAATTGCAGTCACCCAAGAAAACGTTGATGCTGTGCGTAAGCTGATTGAGGAAGCTCGATATGTGATATACCGCAAAATTCAGGCAACTTTAGACATTGGCATGAGTCAAATACAAATAATCTTGCATGAACAATTAGGTGTAAAAAAGTTGTTTCCCGATGGATACCGCATTCGCTCTGTGAAGAGCAAAAAGCGGCTCACATTACTTGGTGCATCAGAACTCTCGAAAGATTCCACGCAGGATCCTCAAATGCTGTATACAACATTGTATCAGGTGATGAATCCTGGATATACGCGTACAAACCCGAAACAAAAAACCAGTCACGAATTTGGGTGTTCGAAAATGAGTTAAAGCCAACAAAAATTGTTCGTTCACGGAGTGTTGCAAAAAAAAAGTTTGCCACGTTTGTCTCCAAAGCCGGCCATGTTACAACTATTCCTCTTGAGGAACAAAGAACGGTTAATGCAGAATGGTATGCTAGCATTTGTTTGCCACAGGTCATTTCTGAACTCCGTAAAGGGAACTGCAACCGCCGCATCATCCTCCATCACGACAATGCCAGTTCTCACACTGCACATAGAACAAAAGAGTTTTTAGAGTAAGAAAACATAGAATTATTAGACCATCTGCCATACAGCCCCGACCTAAGCCCTAATGATTTCTATACTTTCCCTAAAATAAAGAATAAATTGCGTGGACAGATTTTCATCACCTGAAGAAGCTGTGGACGCCTACAAAACGGCCATTTTGGAGACCCCAACTTCCGAATGGAATGGTTGCTGCAATGATTGGTTCCATCATATGGAAAAATGTGTCAAATTTCGCGGAGAATACTTCGAAAAGCAATAAATACATTTTTAAATAGTAATGTTGTGTCACTTCCTTGATTCCCGAAATTTTCAGTGCCGCCCTCGTCGAAGCTGCACATACAATAAAACAATATCAACTGCACAGGAGATATTATAATACCTACCACAAATTTATGAATAAATACACTGCAGTTATAAGAAAAATGACACTACATAAAATTATATAAAATTAGACAGACCACAAAACCTGGTAAAAGAACACCGATTCCTACCAAGGATGATTCATAAGGCTGTTGAAATTAAAAAAACAAATAAATTTCAATAGAAAAGATTACTGGGTGTTACGATCTGCTAAGGATTGTATAATTAATAAAATTAAATATAAGATACAGTACAATCTTTCTACATATATCAGACTAAAAATTTATATTCAAAAGCTAAAGGTAGCTTGGGCTTACTACGACATCAAAATGTCAAATACCTCAGTCTCCTCCTTGACCATGGGTGTTAAAATAATAATAATAATAATAAGCCCTTTTAATCTGAACTTATATAAATAATATATGTTGTATTTCTTTTTTTGTAAAATGTCCCGAAGTTCAGTTTGCCTCTTGGCATAGGCCTCCTCTAACATTTTCCACTGGGACCTGTCCCGTGCTACCCTTCTCCAGTGATGTCCCGCCGTGAGTTTTAGGTCGTCATCCCATCTTGTCTGTTGGTGTCCTCTACTTCTCTTGCCATCTCTAGGGTACCAATCTGTGACCGTTTTACACCATTTCTCTTGTGGATCTCGTATCATGTGACCTGTCCATCTCCATTTTTGTTGGTCTATTTGGGTTAATATATCTGCAACTTTCGTTTTTTCTCTTATTTCGCAACATCTCACTCTGTCTTATTTCTTTATTCCTATCAAGCTTCTTTCCATGGCTCTTTGGCAGCGTTCCAGCTTTTCCCTATGGTGTTTGGTGAGTGCCCAGGTTTCACATCTGTAGGTGATGACTGGAAGTATACATGTGTTGAAGACTTTTCTTTTTTTTGCATACTTAGTTCCTTGGATTTCAAGACTTCTTTGAAGAACCAATACTTTTTCCATCCATTTCTTATTCCTCTTTCAATTTCTTTGGTAGTTTGATCTTTGTGAGATATGACTTGTCCTAAGTAGATGTAATCCGTCACATATTCGAGAGGTTGGTTGTCAACTTTAATTACTACTGATTCGGAGTTTGTGAGCAGTTTTGTTTTATCTTTGTTTATGCATAGGCCTACTTTCTTCGTTGAGAGTTTCTATCATTTTACTTAGATGCATTGGGTATTCCTCAAATAAGACTATATCATCTGCGAATCTTAGGTGATTTAGTTTTTCACCCAGCATGTATATCAGCAGCAGGTCATATTCTTTCCAATCAAGCTTGCGAAAGATACTTTCCAGAGCAGCCGAGAATAATTTTGGTGAAAGAGATCCCCTCTCGATCTTGAACTTTTTTCCCAAGGTTTTCAGTTGGATTCTCGCTTTTCCATTCATATAGATGTTCTTTATGATATTGATGTAGTTCTGTTCCACATGGCCATGTGCTCTATTCTGTCAAAAGCTTTAAAATAATCAATGAATGCCATGTAGAGTTTCTTGTTATACTCGTTGTATTTTTCTATTATTTGTTTCGTTGTATGTATGTGATCTAGAGTGGAATATTTTTGTCTGAAGCCAGCTTGCTCCCATGGTTGGTTTTCATCTAATTTTTTGCTTATTCGATCCAGAATAACTTTAGAAAATACCTTATAGATATTTGATATCAGGCTTATGGATCTATAGTTTCCTATATCCTCCTTTTGTCCTTTTTTGAATAATAGAATAATGTTTGCTGTTTTACATTCTTCCGGGATTTGGCTAGTTGTTAGTATTTCATTGAATATTGAAGCAAGTATTGGTAGAAGTTCTTCGAGGGTGCCTTTTAGGAGTTCGTTCGTCACTTTGTCTGGTCCTGGAGCTTTTTCCGTCTTCTGGCTGTATATAGCTTTTTCGATTTCTCTGGGAAGTATTTCTGTTTCAGTTTCTGGTTCTTTTTTGGTGTCAGTCCTCGGGTAGTGTTCTTGTTTGTGGTCTGGGTTTGAATAAAGATCTTGGTAAAATTTTGTGGCTATTTCATTTATGTTTTTTCTGTTAGATGAGGTACATTTCTTTTTGTTTAGTTTGGTATCCATTCCTTGTTTATTTCTATCAGTTCCTTTAGTGCTTTTTTTACTCTTCCTGTCTTTGCTATATGCCTTTCTAATGTTTGCATCCTCATGGTCTTTCTATCTTTTCTGATGTTTGCACTAATTTCTTTGCTTAATTTTGTTATAGTTTTTAAGTTGTCTTTTCTAGGGTGTTTTGACAATAGGTTTTTCCTTCTTTCTATGAGTTGTATAGTTGTGTGACTAAGTTTGTATTTGTTTTTCCTGTTGTGATTGGCTTTGACTTTAGTTAGTAATTTTACTAGTTTTTCATATTTCATACGAGTATCAGTGTTTGTCATGGTTAATTCATCAGCTGATTCAATAAGAGATTGTTTTATTTTTTTTATAGTTTCTACGCTATGGTGTTTTATGTTGCATGGAGTAGTGTTTTCTAGATTTCTTTGGTGGTTCTATCTTTATGTTGCTTCTTACCATGCAGTGATTTGTGTTGAAATTAAACTTTACTATGACCGATGTATCTGTGACACACAGACAGCATGGCGGACACTTCATTGCCCTGAAACCCTCTCAGAAATGAGGGGAGGCCTGTGCCCAGCAGTGGGACGTATATAGGCTGTAACTTTACTTTTAATTTACTAGTGTAATTGTAAAATACAACAACTTTAAAATATGCAGGAAGTCAATGGATGCAGGTGGCTCAAGATAGTGCTATGTGGCATTGGGAGAGGCCTACATTCAGCAGTGGACTTGTGAAGGGCTGTAATGATGATGATGATAACAAGTTTAAGTACGGATTTTATGAAAGAATCAAACGAGGTCCACTAACGATAATAAAAGAATTATTTACAAATGTATGTTACAAAGCAAAACAGGAATTTAAAATCTAAAGATATTACTTACGCTTTTTCATCGATTGGCGGTAATAAGCCCTGATTAGCTAGAAACATATCATGAGATCTTTTCAGTGACCTGAAGACAAGTGTGTGCACAGAGTGTTTAGTTACTTCGTCCGTCATTTTTGTATTGCTTAGATTATTTTTGCATAGTATAAATAATATAACTAAAACTATTTGTTGATAAAAGTTATAATTCTTATAAATAACACATTTATTTAGAAATAAAAAATTGAAACAACTAAACAACGCGCTTTGCGTCTTGTCATATTACTTTCCTCTATGGTCTTGTCTCGCTGTCAAGGTGTTAAGTTAAGTGATACTGACAGTAACATTGTCTACAGTTTTTGCCTGTGTCTGTGGTCGGATACTATTGTTTTTTATTTATTTATTTCATATTGTGGCATAGCTTGTATACATACAGGTGTCCCAGAAAGAATGGATACACCTTCACAAATTGGAAGGGGTTCAAGGAGTCCCTAGCTAAAGCTCTGGACTCACAGGACTCTACCATCTCCTTACCGTCGGGCTTAGACAGTCCCGAAAAAGTCGACACCGTGGTCGATTCACTCTCCACCCTTATTAAATTCTCCCTTAAGGAGAACGAAAGAGTCGTCCCGGTTGCTAACAATAGTGGGCTTCCCCTACATATTAGCAACCTATTAAAAGCTAAGAAAGCTGCTTTCCGGAGAGCAGCAAAATCTCCCACCGCCGAATATAGGCGCACGGCCAATCGTCTTCAACGAGAACTCCGTTTCCGCCTCTCTGAATTTCGAGACCTCGAAAAGAGTAAACTCATGGAGAATATCTCTCCATCTCATAAAGCGTACTATCAGATGGCTAGAGCCCTCCGCATAGACACTATCACACATACTCCCCCTCTCTCCCATCCCGACGGTACGGTTGCCTTCGAGGACGAGGAAAAGGCTGAGTGATTTGCAAATAGCATTGCCGCACAATGTCCCCTAGCTCTCAACCCGTCGATCCCTCACACATCCAGGCAGTAGAGGATGAGGTCCGCCGCCGGAACTCACCCCCTACAGTCTCCGAATCTATCTCTGTGTCCAATGATGAGATTTCATCCCTCATCAAAGGACTTAAGCCCAAAAAGGCTCCGGGCGCGGATGGCATCTCCAACCAAGCCCCAAAACACTTTCCTGAGCAGGTGTTAACCTTTTTATCTATTATCTTCAACGCCTGCTTCAACCTTAGTTACTTTCCCACTACGTGGAAAGAGGCAACTGTGATATTCCCAAGGCAGGCAAGCCTCTCAACCTCCCCTCCAGTCATCGCCCCATTAGCCTCCTCAAGGCCATGGCCAAGCTCTTCGAAAGAGTCATCCAAACTCGCATGAGGCGCTATCTGTTTCCCACAGACGGTGACCCTCTTATCATTCCCCATCAATTCGGCTTCCGAGCGCAACACTCATGTCCCCAACAAGTTCACCGTATTGTGGAATATATCCTCAGCGGTTTTTATCCTCATCGTCATAAGACCATCGCGGTCTTTTTCGAAATAGCTAAAGCCTTTGATAGAGTCTGGTATACAGGCCTTATCTACAAGCTGTACAAAATAGGTCTCCCCGATCGTCTAGTACGTCTCGCGGCCTCTTATTTAATGCATCGTACCTTTCGTTTTAGATACGAAGGCACGCTATCTTCACAGCGCCCTATCAAAGCTGGTGTCCCTCAGGGCTCAGTACTTGCTCCTCTGCTGTACATCCTGTTCACCAACGACATTCCCATCCCGTCGAAAGGTGTTCAGCTCTCCCTCTTCGCAGACGACACTGCTACCTACTGTAAAGGTATCTCTCTACCTTTCATACGGAACAAGGTTCAAAAGTCAGTTGACGACCTAGGAGCTTGGTTCAAAAAATGGCGCATCGATGTGAACCCGGAGAAGAACTCCGCCGTTCACTTCGATTATAAACGACGCCGTCTCAAAAACACTCCACCAATACGTATGCTAGGGACCCCTGTCCCCTGGCATATGACTGCCAAATATTTAGGTGTCACTCTAGACACAAGGCGCACTTTCAGGCCCCACGTCAAAAGAGTAACCCGTCACGCACGTTTTTACCTGAGTAGGCTCAACAGTATGTTGGGCCGACACAGTAAAATGTCCCTCAGAAACAAGCGTACCCTTTATAAGGTCTGTATACGACCAGTCATGTCCTACGCGGGCCCCATTTTTGCCCACGCCGACCCTAAAATTATTAATGAACTCCAAATAGTTCAAAACCTTTTCTGTCGTCGAGCTGCGAACGCACCTTGGTACGTCCGTAATGCCGACTTTCATCGGGACCTAGAGCTCCCTACAATTCAACAATTTCTTAAAAAACTCTCTGAGAACTTCTTCAAAGCCTAAGAGTCGCACTCCAATCATCTTATTCGTGAGGCACCTACTTATGCAGCCCCACCCCCCTCTCGCTATCGAGTCCGTAGGCCGAGAAACTCTCACTCGGACTCGCCTAATAAACTGTCAAACGACCTGAACTGCCTCCTGGCGGCTCAGGCCAACTCTAATTAAATTAAATTATTCATAATTAATTTGCCTTCGTAGGCACTCCCTCAGCGGCTCGTAGCCGCCTGCGCCCTCTTTTCCCAAAAGAGGGTCGCTCCCGATACGGCATAAGAAGCTTAAACAGCCAGTTGCCAGTCCCCAAAGGCGGTTTTTAGAGGGTAACACTTAGGTTCCCCCGGTAGGCAGTGAGTCCCTCATAACCACGATAGACCGGCTATCGTGGTATGCGTAATGCATTTTCCGCCTCCCTACATAAAGGGTAGCCCTTTAATTGCTTCGGGCGCAAAAAAAAGGAATGGATAGTCTTGAAGCGCCTAATAGTACAGGTACCTGAAACCTTACAACTTTGCCCTTGGGGGACATCTTTGCCCAAACACGAAAATTAACTAAAACTACCGATAGACATTTTATTTTAACATATCGTCGTCTCAGTGCTTATTTGTTCTATCTACCAAATTTTCCGAAAATCAATTTTAAATGCAGTTTTGTTAAGACTTAAATTTCAATCTCGTTGGTAAAGAAAGACTTACAACTTTTTGCTTATAAAACAACAAAAAATCATATACATTTTATTTGTGACAAGACACCGCAATGAAAATGTAGTGCTTATTTGTTTTATGTCCAGTGTTTGGTTGATATCCTATTTCGCAATAGAAGTTAAGTGCTTGAGTGTTCTATGTCCACTCAATTGACCAATCACAGTCAGTGACGCTATGTCCGCCATTTTGTTTGATTTATCATTGTGTCAGAATCGTCACGGGAACCACATCGCCGCTGTCGGAAAATAAACAATAAAACATATAAATCGTTGTGTTTTTGTACCTGAATTGTTTCAAACAAGTGATTAAATATGTCTGCAACTGGCCGCAAACTGAGCAGTGAGTACTTTTTAATTTACACTAGATTCCGTTATGAATTTGAAACAGGGTATTGTTTTTAATACAATGTGTCATCCTAAGCACAGAAGGTTATGATTGATTCCCGTTTTGTCATGTTAAGAAAATGACATATTTCTTTATCTGAAGGTTCAGGGTGTTACTGTAATATGATCCCAGTGCATTACTTTTTTCGGCAACTAACTGATTGTATAAATATTAAATCCCTTATTCTGAGAACGAATAGTATTATCGTATTGGAAGGCACGATATTTTATACTAGTAAATTATTAGCTCAGGTGGTAGTGACTACGTTAGTACTCTTATTAGTTTGTGGTAGTGACCCTGCCTTCTGATCCAAATATCCTGGGTTCGGTTCGCTGTCGAGGCCAACTCTTGTGTGCATAAACGATATCTGTTTGCTTCGTGATTGCGTATGTTTACAAGATTTTATTTAACTTGCAATGTTAGTAACTATGTATGATATTATCGTCAACCGATTGAGCTGAAATTTCGCATACACGTTTAGTTTGAATGACAATGCAATATTATGGTATCATGAAGCTGGTCTGATGATGAAGCCGGAAGGTGGCCATAGGAACTAGGCAAATTAAAACATAACTTCGTCGTGTTTATTCTTTTTAATGCATTATAATAAAAGCTTGCTTTCAAAAATATTTTTTTATATACGTGATGTCCAGAGTCTCTTGATGAGCCGGAAGGTCATTGATAACAAAAACGACGTGCGTGAGTGTATTATAGGTATACTCCTCAATACACAACATAACATCGTCGTTTTTGGGCTCGTTGAATTTGTTTTAACAAGATCTTTAGACATGTGTGATGTCCAGGGTATCATGATGGAGACGGAAGGTGGCCAAAGGAACTCGTCAAATACACAATATAACCTAGTCGTGTTTATTTTTAGTGCATTAAAATAAAAGCTTACTTTCAAAAATATCTTTTCTGTGTATTATATTATGTATTCAAGTAAATATAGAAGCTATGTTTATCTTTGTCTAGTACCACCATCTTGCTTCTTTCTGTCTCCAAGCACTACTGCTTGTTCTGCATTGTGTTCCGGTTTGAAGGGCAAGATAGCCAGCGGTCATGGTCGGGCCACACCGTCTGACATCGTTATTACAGGCACATGGTAACACCTTGAAGTCTCAAGATCGGCAACACATTTTTTATTGTTTCAACTTTAGTCAAATTGATTTTTATTTGTGGTTTTTATACTTCTTGCTTAATGCAAAGCAGGATGCTTGTGACTGCAATTTAAAATACATATAATAATAATTATGTACTTTTTGTTTCATGTATTTACTTAAAAGGGTTGCAAAAGTCAAGAAAAAGCTTTTTGAAGATGATGAAATTTCTGAAAATGACAACATTGAAGACACTCCAAACAAAAATATTGTGAACATAAACAAGAAACTTTTTGAGCGTCAAAGAGAGACCAAGAAAATACCCGTCTCTCTAAGCGAAAATGATTGTTTATTAATTCCTTTAAACATGCCCGTTGATGAAATGTTAATACCATCTGGTGAACTTCCCATTTTAAATGAGTTTCCTGATGTCAATGAAAATTCATATAAAGATCCAGCTGAGCAACAGATTTCAGAAAAAAAAAATAAAAATCCAAGTCGAAAGAGAAAACGACAGCCTGAAATCTGGAAAAGAAATATTAATAAAATAAAAGAGAAAGAGGAGAAGAGTACACAGGGGCAAAAGGAAAATTCATGCAGGCTAGAATTATTAAACCCGTGTGTGAAAGTAATTGTAAGCTTATGTGTTTTACAAACTTCCCTTTGGCCCTGAGAGAACAAAATCTGAATTTTACAGCTTGACTGATGCCCAAAAATACAAATTTTACGGAAAATACACTGCAAGAACCAAAAAATGTAGAACGCGAACTAAAAAAGAAAGGTGTAAGAGAACGTATACATTTCACTATTATTTTCGTAAAGAAAACGAAATTGTTAAAGTCTGCAGAACATTTTTTTTGTTCTACGTTGAGTATTTCTGCTCACCGGATTCACTATTTTCATTTAAAAATGGAAAAAAATGACACACTCTCGCCTCCTACGCCGAGAAAAGAAAAATACATCAAAAAAGCAACACCGCCTGAAAAAATAAACGAAGTTATCGTTCCCAACAGTATATTCACTCTACTGTCGATCGTCTAGTACGCGCCAATATTTACAACCTGGGTTGAGTGTCTCAAAAATGTACTCATTATACGTGGAAAAGCATAAAGATCCTGTTAAAGAAAACATATACCGAAAAATATTCTGCGAACGATTTAATCTTGGTTTTCATCGCCCAAAAAAGGATGTTTGCGATTTTTGTTCCGAGTTTAAAGCTCAAAAAACCCCCAGCAGTGATCTTATAGAAAAATGTGAGGAGCACTTACAAAGAAAAAAAGAGGGTGACGAAGAACGAGAAAAAGACCGAAAACTGAAAACCAGTAAAAACAACGACACAGCCGTTGTAACTTTTGATTTGGAGAATTTTTTTTTCTCTGCCCAAAGCAAATGTATCATGCTTTTTCTATACAAGCAAATTGACCGTTTATAATTTAACAGCGCACTGTGATATTAATAAAAGTGCTGTTAACGCTTTATGGGACGAGACTAGAAATAAAAGAAGTGGCGATGATTTAGCCAGTGCATTGGTTAAAATTTTAAAAGAAATAGTAAGTTTTTACCAGATACTATAACTAAACTAATACTATGGTCAGATTCGTGCGTCCCGCAGAACAGAAACCCACATATGAGTACTGCTATTATCAAATTTTTACAGTCCGACGATTCCAAATATTTATATAACAAGTATTACCCAAAAATTTTGCGATCCCGGCCATGGTAATGTTCAAGAAGTAAATTCAGTCCACAGCTTAATCGAAAAAATTTTAAGACACCAAGATATACAGCCCTTTATCTCTACTACGTGCTCTACTAAAAATTAAATCAAATACTCTTAAACTATTTTTCATTCAAATGGAGTACTCCGATTTCTTTCCATTTCATTCAGAAGCTATAAAATTTGGTTTTTATCAAATACCTTACAAACGAATAAAGTCATTAACTTATTCGAAACAAGAGTGGTATATTATAAAATAACAAACTTCATTTTTGGGAACAACAGAAACAATTGACATAAGAAAAAATCAAATGTTTTGAGTGAAAATACCTTAAAGGAAGCAAATAAAACACTGACCAAAAATAAAATTGACGATATTCGAAGCATGTTCAAATATATGCCGACAGAAGACAAAGTTTTTATGGAAACTCTTATTAAGAAAGCTGAGTGAAGGAAAGGAGATAATGAAAAACTTGATTTGATTAAACCAAGCGAAAAAAAGAAAATAAAGGAAGTAAAAATGAGTAGAAGACACTCATTAAAGTGAATGAAACTAAATGTGAAAAGACAATAAGTAAAGGAAATAAAACTAAAAAAAGCATAATGTGAAGAAGTCTACAGAAAAGAAGACAGTTAGAAAAACAAACGAAAAATAATATAGACTAGATAATTTAATTTTGTGATCAGAACTAGGTGACCCGGCAAACTGAAGCTACCCTACCTACCCAACCTACTCTACCTATCCCACCTACCCCACCTACCCTACCTACCCTACCTACCCTACCTACCCTACCAACCCTACCTACCCGACCTACCCTACCTACCCTTCCCATCCTACCTACTCTACTACAATTAGTGCCGATCTGTGATTCAAGAACTGTCCAAAGATAGCGATTTCAAAAACTAAACTCAAAACTGCTAATATTGTTTTGTCACATAGATAGATCTTTATGCAAGGTATTTTTATACTGATCAATTTAATAAATAAATAGAAAATAAAATGTTTTTTATTTCAATATCTATTACAATTTAGTTACTGGGGCTTCCCTGAAAGTAATCAGAGGATACTTGTGATGGGCATGCGATAAAATTATACATCCTGTACATACGTTTGGCATATTGAACAAATAAGCACGCAAAAATAGAACAGTCATTTTGGTCTATCTCTAATGACGTAATGTTCTAACTCCACATTCGTAATTATGTTTGAGCATGTTTGTTCTAACTCCAAATAAAAGCTGTAAAATAAGGTATAATTAATTACTATCAATAGATGATAATTATATAAATCAATTTAAAGGTAACCAATGCATTATAAAAGACTTTCAAATCTTAAAACCATAGCTTATTTTTGAAAATAGAGAAAAAACTTGTCTACCTGTAAAAGTAACCAATGGTAGATAGTACAAATAAGCACTGAGGCGACGAAATGTCAACTTTGTATGGTATCTAGGGAAAACTAGAGTATCCGTTTGACAGCACTGACTACTACAATCGCAGCTAACTATATTCAGGCATATGTTAGCAACCGCCAAAGGGACAGTGTCGAATGTGGTGCAAAAACATTGTTGCAGTTTTGCATCCCGCCAAGAACTGAGTCATGGTGCGAACAAGGGGTGGTGGTAGATTTTACGCCGCTACCATAAGGCGAGGAGCCGAGTCTATTTTTTTTTCAGCTTTGTCGCTCGTTTAGCACCACCCGGGGGACACGTGTAGGGTGGGCCTAAGGTTAGGTGGTCGAAGCCTACGGACGCGAGCGACTCATCCCCTTTTTATGTATGTATTGCCAAGAAACGCTGCGCAGGTAAGATTCATTATTATTTACGTGTAGAGCATTAATGGTTGCTGCTTTTAATCAAGGTCTCTTTCTTACACTTGTCTTAGTTAGCGAGAAAATTGTGAGAGTAATGTTGTAAGCAATTTTATAAACTGAGGTCGACAACATTGCCCAGCTCAAAAATGTTATTAGGTTAATACTATTGAAAAAAAAAAAACAAGGAAACATGTACCTAGGTATAATACATAAAAATTATATATATATAATAAAATGTAAATATATAGGAATACTTAATAAAATAAATAAGTTTATATAGGTATATAAAAAAACTGTATAACAATAACTACTTTTAACTGCAAACTAAACTAATGTTCTGATAACTATATAGGTAACTAGATACCACTGACCTCTATATATACAAGTACGCTGGACTGGCTATACCATACAAAATGACTGTGCCAATTTGAAGCGCCGCTAAAGGATGTCTTGAAAAATAAAATTGACATAATATGCCAAAGTCTGTTGTCATATTTAAAAAATCTGTATTTTGAACTTTTAAACTAAAAAACGAAAGTATTTTATGTTGTTTGATTGTGTATAATTTTAGTGACATAATATGATTTATTTTTATTAATAATGAGAGTGTGCGTAATCTGTAAAACTCGTTACCAAAAGGGAAGTGTTGTAACATTTCACAAGTAAGTGAATTTGCAGCAAATATTAAACAAATTAAAAAAATATGTTACTAATCTTAATATCATTTATACCAACATGTTTGGCTGTATATTACTGAGTTTTGATAAACAATAAAATTCAATAGGATTGTCGAGTTCCTTGTCTATAATACTTATCGATGTTCTTTCCTACACATAATATCTGTTTATAAACAAAGTCGCCAATAACAGATGATTATCAATTAACAATGTTTATTAATTAACAGGTTAACAACTGAACCTAAACTAAAATTATGGCTTAAAAGCATAAATATTGTGAATTGGCATCCGAAACAAAATGATCATATTTGGTCCAAACGTTTCACATGCCACTGTTTTATTAGACATGAGAACTGCACCGCTTTGAAAAGTGCAGTATATCGACAATATTTTGTGGTAGTACCAGTACCAGTAAGTATAAAAGTATTAGAGTATTATTTAGAATGTTTTTTTTTGTTTCTTCTTTCCTAATTTTCCACCAAACTCAAGGGCCATAGCCAAGTGTCGAAAGGTCGCCTGATGATGTCGAGCCACGTTGGATGTGTGTAGTGGGCTGCGGCTAGAGGAGATTCCTCTCCCTGTACCGCTGTAGTTGAGGTGGAGTAGTAAGGGAAGAGGAGTGTTAGTATGGCGATTGGCGATGCGCCACTCGACTATCTTTGCTGCCATTGGGCAGCTGGGGCCGCGGATGTGCATGAAAGCGTTTCCGTGGCCCTGCCAATTTGCAGCGGAGATAGAACACCATGGGATTTTAGTAAGTGCGATCTAGAGATTTAATTCTCTCTCAATTGCAGGCACGTAATAGTATGAGTACATATTTGTGCTATTTGCTGTAGAGACTATTGGTCCGTAGGGTGAATGTGCGGTGTAGTTCCTAAAAAACTGTATCTGCGACTGATCATCGCTGCTGGTAATAAGAAGTTGTTTAGTTTGTTGCTTCCTCTTCCTTCCTGCCATTCAGAGAGGACACGTAGCCAGCATTCTTGGGACGATACCACGGAAAGTAGGACTGTATGATAATTTCAGTTATTTTTTTAATATTGTAATTTTAATTTAGAAAATGACGTTGTAATTAACTGATAACTATGTAATTCAAAGTTTATATTTTTTTAATATTATCTTGCTAGCTCGTTCCCGGCGCATTGCTGCCGCAAAAGGAATAATTGTGGAAATATCGTTAAAAGTGTGGAACAGTTATATTGTATAATTAGGAATGATAACACAATCATTGAAATAGAATGATATATAACTTTCTATAACTTTCAAATAAATAGTCAGTATAATATAATACGCACGCCACCTAGTGTCAGTTAGTTGTCCCATGCGTCTAACCTTCGCACGAGTGCAACCAATAAGTTGACTAAGTTTTACCGCAATCTGATGAACGGTATGGCATCGTAGAAAATACGAACAAACATAATTTTTTATATAGTAGAAAATATTTTACTGTCTATAGACAGACCTGT